TGACATCTTTGAAGAGTCTGCCAAACTCGTCCTCCGGCCATTGCAAAGTGGAATGTTTGAGTCGTACGAACCCTCACTCAGTGGCGGATCCAGGATTTTTCAAAGGGGGGTTCCTCTTTGTTTTCGCATTTTCCTAAAACGAACTTTTTTTTTTACGGTGCCTCTCGAACCGTAGCAAATGTAGTGTGAATGTATTGAATAAAAATTCATTGTACGATGCGTTTTCATTTTATTTCATTTATCATTTATTTTATTTTTTTATGCTTGAGGGGGGTTCCTAGGAACCCATGGAACCCCCCCTGGATCCGCCACTGTCACTGTTTCACATCTCGGACTATAACATTCCCTCTAATCAACCATTTACCAATACCACTTACGAAGTAGCCATACCCATTTATTTTAAGTTTTTGACTTTATTTAGTGTATCGTACGCATATATCTGAGTTTAAAATTGTATACAAGCAATTTGGAACCAGTTTGCGTGCATGCTTTTGTATTTCATTTAATTAAAACTCGTCGTTGAGCAATACCAACTTACGAACTGTAGCGCCATACCCATTTATTTTAAGTTTTTGACTTTATTTAGTGTATCGCACGCATGTATCCGAGTTTAAAATTGTATACAAGCAATTTGGAACCAGTTTGCGTGCATGCTTTTGTATTTAATTTAAAAGTCGTCATGCTAGTTATGCGTAGGTATATCAGAATAAAATCGAATTTAACTTAACATGTTGCTCAAAGTCTTCGTTTATTTGGTTAGAATTAGATTTCTTGTAAAAAAACTATACATTTGACATTTCTATAACTCATTTGAAGTTGTATTATTATGTTCTTGAAGCCAAAGTAACGAAAAATCAAATCAAATATAATAAAATTGCTATCAATGCGGATTTATTCATTATAATTAAAAAAATAATATTCTAAAATATTTTGCCAGTATTCATTTTTTTCAGTCAATGAGATCATTGAAAAAAAACTAGTATTTGTTCTTTTCTATATTTCGTGCCGAAATATTACATTTATTTTTATTGACTGGAGGAAACAAAATTTCTTTCAAATGAACGCTACTTTTTTTTCAGAACGCGTCCCATTCAGACCTATTTTTTTATTTAATAATTTCTCCTACATTTTTGACCTCTACAAAGGGAATGGCTTGCTAGCCTAATCACACACACCCTCATCTTCCCCCTGGATACACCCTTGTCCTAGGACCCAGGCCTACAGTTGAAAATCAGCTAGCTAGTATCGTGGGGATTTCAGAATCGCACAATGAAAGTTACACCAAGACTGGCCTTTCTTTATAGATTATGTCATGAAGTATGAGGTGGTGCATTTATACATGTTCTTAACTCTTCTGTCAGTGTTGACAATTCTCAAAATGTCCTTTATATACAAACCATAGCACTAATAACATTAACTATTTTGAAATGACAATTCTTTAGCTGCATGACTGCTTTTTTATTACTTGATACTCTATTATACAGTCACTGGGCGTCCCAGCTAGATATTGAAAAGTATCCAATAGTCTCCTTCACGGATACCTGCACCATCTTGAAAGGTAGCCGTGCCTTTGCATCAAAGCGAGACAACCGTTGAGCGTGCAATGATAGAAACCTGTGAATAATTGTCTGTAGGTGTGAAAGAATGTTTCTATCATTGCAACCTCAACGGTTGTCTAACTTTGATGCAAAGGCACTCTACCTTTCAAGATGGCGCAGGTAACCGTGAAGGAGACTATTCAAGCTTTTGCATCAAAGTGAGACAGCTGTTGATCTTGTGAGAATACAGTCATGCAGATACCTGTGAATGATTGTCTTAAGTGTGAACAAAAGTATAAATAACTTCAGGCTTCATTCATACCTGATGCAAAGCTTGGTCATATCTTGCAAAATAGTGCTTGGAACTGTAAAATTGGCCGATAACAAAACAAGCAGGGGTCTGGAACTGAAATTTTTAAAAGTGATACAATCTTACAGAAATCTGTTGTCGATAGATAAAGCACATATAAATTAGCTTTAAGTTTAAACTTTGAGCAAGTTTAAGTCATTATTTTAAATGAAAATATAATTTTTTAATTGCTATACAAAGAATGTTTGGCTGGACGCTTTGGCTGGACACCATACATTTCTATGTAGTTTTGGCATGGTTTGAATGTCTGTAACTTTATTGCTATAAGTTCAAACATCATGAAACNATTGCTATCAATGCGGATTTATTCATTATAATTAAAAAAATAATATTCTAAAATATTTTGCCAGCATTTATTTTTTTCAGTCAATGAGATCATTGAAAAAAAACTAGTATTTGTTCTTTTCTATATTTCGTGCCGAAATATTACATTTATTTTTATTGACTGGAGGAAACAAAATTTCTTTCAAATGAGCGCTACTTTTTTTTCAGAACGCGTCCCATTCAGACCTATTTTTTTATTTAATAATTTCTCCTACATTTTTGACCTCTACAAAGGGAATGGCTTGCTAGCCTAATCACACACACCCTCATCTTCCCCCTGGATCCACCCTTGTCCTAGGACCCAGGCCTACAGTTGAAAATCAGCTAGCTAGTATCGTGGGGATTTCAGAATCGCACAATGAAAGTTACACCAAGACTGCCCTTTCTTTATAGATTATGTCATGAAGTATGAGGTGGTGCATTTATACATGTTCTTAACTCTTCTGTCAGTGTTGACAATTCTCAAAATGTCCTTTATATACAAACCATAGCACTAATAACATTAACTATTTTGAAATGACAATTCTTTAGCTGCATGACTGCTTKTTTATTACTTGATACTCTATTATACAGTCACTGGGCGTCCCAGCTAGATATTGAAAAGTATCCAATAGTCTCCTTCACGGATACCTGCACCATCTTGAAAGGTAGCCGTGCCTTTGCATCAAAGCGAGACAACCGTTGAGCGTGCAATGATAGAAACCTGTGAATAATTGTCTGTAGGTGTGAAAGAATGTTTCTATCATTGCAACCTCAACGGTTGTCTAACTTTGATGCAAAGGCACTCTACCTTTCAAGATGGCGCAGGTAACCGTGAAGGAGACTATTCAAGCTTTTGCATCAAAGTGAGACAGCTGTTGATCTTGTGAGAATACAGTCATGCAGATACCTGTGAATGATTGTCTTAAGTGTGAACAAAAGTATAAATAACTTCAGGCTTCATTCATACCTGATGCAAAGCTTGGTCATATCTTGCAAAATAGTGCTTGGAACTGTAAAATTGGCCGATAACAAAACAAGCAGGGGTCTGGGACTGAAATTTTTAAAAGTGATACAATCTTACAGAAATCTGTTGTCGATAGATAAAGCACATATAAATTAGCTTTAAGTTTAAACTTTGAGCAAGTTTAAGTCATTATTTTAAATGAAAATATAATTTTTTAATTGCTATACAAAGAATGTTTGGCTGGACGCTTTGGCTGGACACCATACATTTCTATGTAGTTTTGGCATGGTTTGAATGTCYGTAACTTTATTGCTATAAGTTCAAACATCATGAAACTTATTCAGTAAGCCATTTTTTGATTAGATTTTGAAGTTCGAATCCAGTTCCTTTTTCGTTTTGTTATCGGCCAATTGAGCATTTTCATGCAAGATAGCTGTATGTAGTGAGCAGACATTTTGCATCAATATGTCACATGGGGGCCCTTATATTGAATCTGTTATGCCCATGCGATTTATATCAATGTAAAAGGCCTATCAAGCTGCCAGAAACAAATACATTTACCAGTGCATAATGTGATATATTGTATAAAAGGTACTATAATTTATAAAAAGCTAACCAGTCATTA